ACAATGCATGGCTTATGGGCTGGCTGTCAGGAGACCCAATCTTTCTTGTCTCCTGCACCAGCGAGAGTGATGTGAGACAAATGGCTGTCCTCTCTCAGCCTCAGCTTCTCTCTATGTGCCACGGGGGCACTGAGTGTGGTGGGTCTCTGGCCCTATGGGTGTGCAGGGTGAGACCCAAGTGCAGAAACACTGACTTGTACTCATACCAAAGACGGGGATGCCCAAACTGAGAAGACACTGCCAACCTAGACACAGGTGCCCTGGTGCCCACTGCTTCCCATTCCTCTCATTCTGGGGGCAGCACTGTCCCCGCCATTCCCAGGGCCCCTCCCAGGGCGACAGCAGCTGTTGATCAAGGGAGGCACATGATTCAAGCCAGCCAATCAGCCACCTTCCCTGGGCCTGATACAGAGGCCCAGGGAGACAGAAGCTCTCATCTGCCTGGAAAGGAACTAGGGCTGTTGGTGGCTACATAGCAGGGGGAAGGTATGAGGCCCACAAAGAGAGCAGCGAGAGTTAGAAATGAGTTGCAGATAGCACGTTGCGGGCATGGGGGTGGCCCGCTGTTCCCGGGGAGTACAGCTCCCCCTTCAGGTCCCCAGCACCCCAATTTCTCCTCCAGGGGCACAAACCAATCGGTTTCTCTTAGGTTGAAGCTGGTTGGGGCTGGTTTCTCTCTTGGAGTTGAAAGAGGCCTGAGAAACACAAACACTGTCTCCTGAGCAGCCGCCACCGCGATTAAACAATGGAGGGTTGAACGCGGCCTTTCAGAAGTAACACCGTCAGTAGATGTGACAGGTGGTGTGCTGTTACCTGCACCCAGGGTAGAAACCTGCTGCCTGACCCTGGCCACCCCCAAGCCTGCTCCCTGCGCCTTGTAAAAGAACAACCCCTCCCTCGAGGTGACTGAGGAGGAGGAGAATATCCTCTCCCGAGCAGTGGGCACAGGCTCAGGGGCCCACAGGCCTGGGTTTGCAGACCTGGCGTAAATGACTGGACAGGCCTGGGCTCAGACTTCTCAGCCACGGAGCAAGGCCTGCCTCGCCCACAGGTGCAGAACTGCCCGGCACACGGTAGGTGTGCGATGTTATCTCCCAAGAACCTTGGGAGGGAGTGGTTTAACGGTTTTCCCATTTTTCAGATAAGGAAACGAAGGATCACGGAGGCTGAGTGACTTGTCCGGGGTCACGCCACAGTAAGTGCAGGAGGAAAATGGAGAGCCAGGCCAGGTGTCTGAGGACACGCCTGTTACTAGTTGATCCCCCTCCCCTGCTTGCCTGAAGGATATGGCCTCACAGGGCTTGCCGACCCCTGGAGCAGGGGACCCCTGGGCTGGGCTACTCTGCCCAGTCCCACCGTCCACCTGCTTTCCCAGGAAGGCCTTTCTAAAAAATACCCTGTTGCTGGAAACAGCACCCTTTGGTCTCATTGTTTCTACCATGTTCACAGTTCATCCTAAAACACAGGTAAGAGTCAGGGGAACCAAGACGTGGGTTCTGGAGCTGAAAAAGCCCTTGGAGGCTATCTAGTTCAACCCCCTCACTTACAGTTGGGGTGACAGGCTCAGAGAGGGCGAAATAATTATCTGCTGTCACACAGCCAACCACTGATGGGGTTAAGGCCTGTAACCAGGTCACCCATTCCCCCATCCAGGGCTCCTGGAAATAGCCGATTTGCTCCCACCCATCTCCACCAAGGCCTTGGCCCCAAGGGAGGGAAGCTGAGGTGGGTGGAGGGGTCAATAAAGGTCAGCATGGGAAACGGAAGTGTGGCTTCCCCTACTGCCATGTCCCTTCCTGGGTGGGGTGTGCACAGGGGTGGGGGGTGGAAAGGTGTGTACCAGTGGCAGTCAGACAGGGGCTGAGAAGCCTGCTGACAGGAAGTCCCCAGCACGTCTGGGCGATCAGATGACCAGACTCACCGGGGTAACTGAGGAGAAGGAAACTGTATTAACATCTACAGCAGCCAAGAGCTGGCCCACCTGCCCGCCTCAGAGCCTCCTATCCTCTGAAGGGGAGCTCGTGCCCAGGCGGCCAGCACGGGCCTGACACACGGTGGCCTTTGAGGAGGCTCCTGGCAGAGGAGGCAGGAGGAAGAAGAAGGGGGGAAGATCAGTTGGTTCCAAAGATGAGAAAAATCCTTCTCCCAAGTGTCTCGGAGAATCCCAGAATGTCTGAGGTGGTAAAGCACTCCCGCTTATGCAAGTGGGGAGACTGGGGTGCAGGGAGGAGCAGACCCTCGCCCAGGTCTCCCTCGATTCTCAATTCGAGGTTTTGCCACCACTTCCTCAGGCTCACCCCTCGCCCCCACCTCCCCATCCAGGGCAGGGGTCCCAGTCCTAGCTGATGCCTGGATCTTGAGTCACAGGACAGAGCTGAGTGGCTGGGAGGGTCCCAGAGGGCTCAGGGCTGGGCTTCAGGAGACCTGGGATCTTCTCCTGGCCTCCCTCAACTCCTTTCCAGAAAATGCAAAGTCACCATCCTCCTGCCTTCTGTTTCAATGGGGGCCACCAGCTATAGTGCACTCTGAGCCCTAGAGATCTGCGTTCAAATATTAGCTCCAACCCTTGCCAGCACCTCCGTTCTGAGCCTCAACTTCTACATCTATGAAATGGGGTACTAATCCCCATCTTGGAGAATATAGAGGATTTGATGGGACTGTAGTCTTCCCATTTTATAGATGAGGAAACTAAGGTTCAGGGAGTGTAAGCAACTTGCTCAAGATCACACAGGTAAAGATAGAATTGGGCACAGTGGAACCCAAGTCTACATGACTCCAAATTGCTCTCCGTACCTAATCTAGCTGGGAGCCAGAAGACTTCTGACTGAAAGACTGCTTGTGCAAATACTTGGAAGCAACCGGTTTAGCTCTGAAATGAGCAAAGGGCTAGACCCAGAGGACAATGCATCCCAACTGGACAGAAGTCACCTGGAACGGCTCTGACTGTGGTGGCCAGAGTGCCTTGGAATGGGAGAGCTAAAGACACTCTTTTGACCCCCGTCGGTAGCCTCTTAGGTGGAGCAGCAGTGTATCCCACACCCCACCCAAAGCCCCACTACCTTCCCATGGCATTTATAATGGGATGGACTCCAATGCTCTGGAAGAAGAGATGAGGGTGTCCCAGCATGTGTTCGCAAAGACATTTCTGCGACTATAAGCAGGAGTATATGTGCACTGGTGTTGCTTGGAAGCTGTGTGTGTCCTCCCTGTGTGCATGGAAACAGGTGTGTTTGTGCGTGAACCGGCTGGGGAAAGTCTGCGTGTTCGGCCTCATCTAGATGTGTATGGCCGTTCAACTTGTATGTGCATGTGGGCAAGTAGTATGTCCAAGTACCTACTGAATGTGTTTGTGACCATCTGTGGGGTGATAAGTCCCAGTCCTGTGTGCAAGGGGAACTGGCTGCTTGCCACTTGCATGGCTGAGAGCCTGTGGTGGGTTCTGTGGGCTCAGATGTGTGTGATGTATGTGAAGGCATCTGTAGCCAGGTTAGGACAGCCTGTGGGTGCCACTTCACAGGCAGCTGCAAAGAACAGGGAATAGAGTTAGGGTGTCTTGGGGGGACCTGAAAGAAGCCTCTTTTCATTAAATCTGTTTTCCCTTCTGCTAATGAACTAGATCATTCTTGGGATTGAGGCCCCTGGGGTGGGGTGTGGGGAAGACAGAAGTCAAGGAAACCACAGCACCTGACCCAACAGTTAGAAACGGGAGGGGAGTATTGTCAGCCAGGAAGGGCCAAGGTGGGCATGGGAGGTGTGGGCACTCAACTGGTCCCAGAGAAGTTGCCCCAGAAACACAGCCCCAGCCCCAACCCCAGGCTAGGTCTACACCACACAAGAAGCACCTTAGTGTGCTTTAGCTTCTGAAACCCGGTCCTCAGCTGGTGGTCCCCTAGGGACCCGGACAAGGTGCCCAGAAGACTCCCCAACGGTCATCCCATAGATGGGACACCTGCCTCCTTGGTGCCTAAGGTTTATAGCCGCCTCACAGCGCAGAGCCCTCGCACCTCCTTTCTTTGCTGAGAGTTCCCAGAATTGGAACCAGAGGTCTGGAGAGGTGACCCGGCGAAGGTCGGACTGAGACGCCAAGGCAGCTCTCCGGACGCACAATGCTTATAGTAACCGAGCTGCAAGACCAACACCTAGTGATGCCCGGGCTCCAGAATGAGACCTAAGGCCGACTTCCCTCTGAGCTGTGGCTTCCGCCTCTGTCAAACCAGACGGGGTTGAGGATCCTCGCGGGGCTTGCTGCGAGGTTTAGAAACCTTCCCCACCTGGGCCCCCGAGCGCCCCAGGCGCGCAGTAGGTTCACAGCCCGCACGCTCAGTACACACCAGCTATAGTTATAGTTAGTAAGTCTCCTCTTTGTAACTCAACAGGGTGCGACGTCCTCTCGTGCCGCTGGCGCCGCGGGTGCGTGGCAGCCGCGGGGACCCCGCCCCCGGCCCCCGCGCGAGGCCGGAGCCACCCGGTGGGGTTTCGGCGCGCTGACGTGGGCGGATCAAAGCAGCTGCCCGTGCCTTATAAAGCAGTTCGGGCGGCCGGCACCAGAGACCGTGCCGGGTGAGGCGGAGAGCTCCGGCGAGCGGGCGAGCGCAGGCCCCGGGAGCCGAGCGCCCTCCAGAGCAGCCTGAGTGTGCGCCCCAGTCCCCGCGGGACCCCAGCAGGCCTCTGCCTGCCGGGATCCCGGGCGTGCTTCTCTGGCAGCTCGCGAAGAGGACGCCCTCGCCGCCTGCCCAGCCCGGAGAGCTCCCGGGTCCGCTGGGGGCTGCGCTCGCCGCTCCCCCGCCCTCCTGGCCAGGCGAGCGCCCCAGGAGGTGAGCAGTGGCCGCGGGCAGCGGGCGGGCTCTCAGCGGGGACCTGCCAGGGCGCGGGGCTCGGGAGTCCGAGGGGGAAGGCGTCACCCCGTTGAGCAACCGCTCCCGGTAAGCAAAGCAAGACCTTCTCCATACCTCTCCTCCGCGGCTCTCCCCGGCGTTCCCCTCACCGAGCGCAGCCGCCGGGGGCTGGGGGCGCGGGCTTTAAGCGGATGAGCGGTGGAGGTGGGCTGTGCAGTTCCCGCGTCCCGCCTCGAGCCTTCCCGGCCCTGTTCCCCCCGATTCGACCCTCTCCCTCCTAGTCAGCCCGCGGATGAGGTCATGCCCGAGCCATCCCGGGGGTGGGGGACTTGGATCCTGTGGCACAGGGTGTGTGTGGCGGGGCAGGAGAGGGAGGCAAAAGGCAGAGAACTACGGCAGCTCCTGCTAAATTGGGGGACCGGGGCGGAGGCCTCGCTTTGAGACCTGCTCCCAGAAGCGGCGGGATAAGGGGGAGAACCGAGAGTTTGTTTACAGACCTGAGCTCCAGGCTAGGGGGTGGGGAGGAGGAAAGTCCTGTCCCGGCCTCGAGGCACATCTGGAGCAGCCCCGAACATCTGGCTGAGCTCGCGCACGAGCCCCACACCTCCCAACTCTCGGAGCTGAGGTGCCTCCATGACCCTCACGGTCCATAGGGGCTCGGGGTCGGGCCCAGAGGGGGTAGTGGGAGGTGCCCCGAGTTACCCCACCCCACCCTTCCCACTTCCAAAATAACCCGTCTCGCGGGCCACCGGCGCATCGTCCGCTGCCCAACAGACACATCTCAAAAGACTCGCGGCCAGGGTCAAAACCGGGTTGCGGCCCCGCCTCGCTTGGCGTCGCAGGTAATCTTGAAGCAGAATCGGCGTCACCGGTTCTCCGGCTCGGCTCTGCGAGCTGCGCACCCGGAGGCTTCAGCGCCGGCGCGCGGCGGGGACACTCAGCGCCGTCGCGCGGTGCCGGCTCCCGGCCCAGCGCAGGCTCATCCGGGAAGGGGAAGCTCGGCGTGTCTACGCCGGCTTTGCCTCAGAGGGGCAGCCGCCCTGGCAGCGGGGTTTCCAGGGCCTTCCAGAGCCCAAGCCTTACAACCACCTGTTAGAGCCGGGCCGTGGCTACTGCGCTCGCGGTGCCCAGAGTGTGCACCAGAGGTTTCCTCTGTCGCCCGCTGCAAGAGAGGTAGCTTGAACTTTATCCCCAGCGGGAGGAGGAAGGGACCCTTTATCTCTCCAAAGACACTGTGCTTTGACGCGGGCCCACTACGCGCCTGACCCCAAGGGAGGTTCCGAGCCGGGCCCGAAGCAAGGGGTCGGGCAGTTCGGAGCTGACCACGGCAAGTGGATGTCTTATAGAGAGACCAGAATTGAGAGGGCACTTACTTTACACCTCATACCATCCCCAGAGGGGGGACACGGGGGTCCAGGAAGAGGAGGGGACTTGCCCAAGGTCCCAGGGCGCGGGAGGCTGCTGCGTATCCCACCTCGAACCCCGGTTTAGCGCCCCCTGGCGGGCCGGGGGCTCAGGGAGGCGAGGGCTCCCTGACCCGCGAGGCGCAGGCTGAGGGTGACCCAGCGGCCCGCGCGGCTGTCCTAGACACTCTGACACTGGATAAGAATAACCTGTCAGAACCCAGAGGCCCAGGCCAGGAGCCGCCTCCCCCAGCGACGTGCTGGGACAGCGAAGGGAGAAGCCCGGGACTACCGGGGCCGCTCCGAAAGAGCCGGGGGTAGCTTGGACGCCTGGGTCCCCGTGCGCCGTGACCCGGGCGGCCCCTCCTCTCTCTGGGCGAGTTGGGCTGGACACGGATCCCCTGCTGTGAGTCCGGGCTCTCGTCTCTCCGAGTGCAGCCTTTTCTCCTCCCTACCCTGGAATGCTGGGCGCCTTAGGGGGGAGCCCACACTTTGGGAGGGGGTGGGGGCGAGGAGAGACAGTGGCTGGCGTTTTTCCCCCCCCCCCCCCCCCCCCCACCCCGCCATATCCAGCCGATACTTTTCTCGTTCTCAGGAGTATGGTAAACTTTCAGGGCCAGTAAGACAAAAGGTTTGGATACAGGCTGGGTGGGAAGAGGGGGCACAGTTAGACTGCGACCCCCGCCTCCCCGCCCCCGTGCCATAATTCAGCAAAGTTTGTAGCGAGCGCCACGGTGTTAGGCGCCCAGCTGGGGGACTCTGCGGAGGAGAAAGAAAATGTAATTCAGAGTTTTCTCCCTGCCTTGCTCTGGGTCATGCCGAAGGCTCCAGGAAACAGTGGGATTTAAAATGTGTGTGTGTGTGTGTGTGTGTGTGTGTGTGTTTGTGTGTGCGCCCGCGCGCGCGCGCGCTTAAGGCGCACTCGTACATGCACACACTACGCAGGTAGACGTAATAGTGGAAACTTAGGCAGAGGGTAGCTCAGAAGAACCGCAGGCTACTGGAAGCTGGAAAGACCTCAGGAAATGCGTGAAGTCCAGTCCCTTGTTTTCATAGAAGGGAAAACTGAGGCTGGGGTGCTGGAAGGCTTGCCCAAGGTCACACAGCCAGATGGGAAACCCCCCCACTTCTCGCTCAAGCGCCCCCACTAAGGCGCCTCCTTTTTCCAACTCCACAAACCCTTTAGAAAGGAATCCCTTTGTCTGCTCCTCCCCAGGGTAGAGGGGCTGAGGCTGTGTTTGCATCCGGGAGAACGCCAGTTGTTGGTAAATTTGGAAGAAGCTGGGAAGGGAGTTAAGGATGTGAAATGAAGAGGGGGAAAAAAAGGAGAAAAAGAAAAAAGCCGGAGAAAGCGACTCTGCGGCCTGCGGGCGGGGTAAGGGCTACTCCGCGGCCCCAGGACGCCGCCTGGCGGCCGGAGGCGGCATCGCGCCGGCCCCGTGAGCTTCCCAGCTTAGCTAAGGCCAGGCTGCCCAGCCTTGGCTCCGGCCTGGGCACCATCCGACCCTCCAGAAGGGCACCGCTAGAGGGACTCAGAGACTCAGGACCCTGAACAGCCTTCACTGTACAAAGACCTTTGCTATCCCATTTCTCATCCTCCCCTTCACAGGCTGAGAAACTGATGCCCAGATCCAGCCCCCATTTCCCTGTCTTCTCACGGTCCATGATCTCACCGGACACTGGGGTAGACATGCGAGTAAAACACGGGCATGGACCTGCCGCTCGCTGGCTGAACAACCCTATTTCACATCTCCGCGCCTCCGTTTTCTCATCTGTGAGATGGGGGCAGTGATAGTATCTATCTCCCAGGGTTGCTGGGAGGAAAAAATGCGATCGCGTTAGGTGAATGTTCTTTTTAAAAGGTGAATTATGTCCTAATCACAATTTGAATCACAATTGTGTCCCCAGTTTACAGAGGGGGTAAACCGAGGCCCAGCAGGGAAGGAGAATGGCCAGGCCCATAATAACTAACAATTAATATTGCGGAGATGAGTACCCAGATCCTGGGCCCCGAATCCGCTCCTCCCCTCGCCCGCCCGCGGTCTCCGCCCTCGACCCCCTTCGTCTTCTTTCCGTCCCTCTCGAGAACTGTGTGCCTATCCGGGCTTCTCCCTCTGCCAAATGTCTTTCAGCCTCGCTCTCTGAGGGTCTCTCTCCCTCTCGCTGTGTCTCTGCCTGGTTTCTCCGGAGTTTCTGGTCCTGTCGCCCTCTTCGCTTCCCGCCGGGACCGCACTAGGTGGACAAGCCCTGGGCCGCGCTCCGGAGGCATTTAATTCGAGCCAGACGCCGGCCGCGTCCCGGGCTGTGCGGGGCGGGAGGCTACGCCGGCCGCGCGCCCGGCCTCCCCGGGCCCCGACCCCTCCTTTGTAATTTGAATAAAACGCCCCCCGCCCCGGCGTGGCCCCCGCCCCGCGCGCAGCCTTAACCCGCTGCCTCCGCTCTCCCCGACTGCAGGCGGCGTGCGCGCAGGAAGAGCGACGGCGGCCGGGCGCGCGGCGGGACTTCGGCGCGGCTTCCCCAGGGTGCGACCCCCCGGCGCGCCAGCCGCGCGAGGATGAGGGCGCGGCCGCAGGTCTGCCAGGCGCTGCTCTTCGCCCTGGCGCTCCAGACCAATGTGTGCTATGGCATCAAGTGGCTGTAAGTAGGGACCCGCGTCCACGCACATGGGCCCCGGGACCCGTGGCTGGGGGAGGCGGAGAGCCTTAAGGGGCCCCCTGGGTCGGGCCAGCGTGCCCAAGACCCGGGAGCAGAAGTTGCCTGGCGGTCGTGGGCAAGTCACCCTTTTTAAGCCTCCTTTTCCTCCTCTGTTAAATATCGTCCTTACCTGCGGGAGGAGCAAGACAGGGCGTGGAGGACTACGGAATTGCCCTGTTCCGTGCGGCCGGGGGTTGCACAAGACCTCCACAGGGACAGATGGAAAAAGACCGTGGTCAAGGGGCCCAATCTAGAGGGTCTGCGCCCTGCACACAAGGTCTGCTCAATATTATGTTCCTTGACAGTCTCCTGACCCTAGCTGGAGGTTCTCAAACAGTCCAGACCCCTCCACCTGGGTGACCTTGGGGAAGTGTCACTCAGCCTCTTGGGAGCCTTAGCGTCCTCCTCTGTCAAAGGAGGGTAAGATGAGAAGCGGCTCATGAAAGAACCCCATAAACTGTCGGATGCTGAAGGGTAGTCCTTTAAGTAGAAATTATTAATGGAGGGGTAAGTGGGAGAGAGACTCCTTTCCATCCAGCAGAAGGGAGTGCCTGCTCTGTGCTGGGCTGTGGGCAGGGAGGGCAGGGAGAAAGGAGTAAAAGCCAGCCCCTTCCTGGAGGAGCTGCCCTCTGGTCTGGAAGAGATAAGCCCAGGCTGTAAATAACTCCAAGTGCCCCGGGAGAGCCCAGGGCGGTGTTGTGGGAGCCCAGAGGAGAGGAGATCACCTGGTGGGGGGCACATCCTTGGGACCCTAGGTAGATTTTTCGTGGGTGGTGCTCCTAGGATGGGCCTGAGGAGTCTCTGGGAGTTTGGTGAGTGGGGGCAGTGAGAGAAGGGCACTTTGGGTGGAGGAACTCCCTGAGCTGTGGAAAAGTCCAGGACAAGACACAGCCTAGAGTTCCAGGTCGGGGCGGGGAGCCATGCAGATAAGACAGGCGTGGGACAGACTATGGGCTGGGGAAGGGCTTCGAGGACGGTTCATGGATTAGCTGGAAGACGGGGCAATAGTGGCTGGGCCACCGGCAAACAGTCTTGAGGTCACCAGCCCTACCCCTTCTGGGGCTTAGTTATCCATTAATTCTCTTGAGAGGAAAACCCCATCTTCTTGCATTTCTTGTTTGTAAGGAGAAGCCTGAGCTCAGCAGCTTCCCAGCCTGGGGGCACCAGCTCTTCTCAGTCAGTCCTGACTAATTTTATGAGCCATCAGCCGCTCTCCTTCTACTGCTGGTACCTGGCACTGTCGCAGCTGGTGAGAACCTCTGATCAGGGAGCCCAAGCCCTCCTCACTCACCACCAACCTTTTACAGATAAGGAAACTGAGGTCCAGAGAGGGAAGGGCTTTGTTAAAGGGCCGGCCCAAGGAGGATCAGTGGCCGAGAACTGGGCTCACCCCTAGAGTGTTCTGGGGGACACTGCTATAATTCCCACACCACGGTGGGAACGCACAGGCTCTGAGAAATTTACAGGTCCCCAAGCTGGCACGTGGCTGGGTAGGGTCTAAAATAGATGGCTAGTTCAGCCCAACATCCATGCTGTCCCCACTGCATAGCCCAGGCTGCCACAAAAAAATGAGTACAACTCAGTGTCTGCCTTAAAAGAGCTCCCAGCCTGTTGGGGGAGACAGACATATAAAACGTAGCAAGTGGACTTTGGGCTGTGTCCTAGGAGAGGGAGCATGGGAGCCCAGAGGAGGTGTGGTTAGCCCCACATAAGGGAGGTGACTCTGAGTCTGGCTTCAAAGGACAGATAGGATTTCGATGGCCGTGGATGGAATGCAAAGCAGGCATCCTAGGCAGAAGGAACAGCAGGGGTAGGACGATGCGTGTGGGGAAACAGAGAAGCCAGGAATTACAGGAGCTTACTAGTAAATCCCCAGAGCTTTAGACATTTAACTTTGATAACACTCCTATGAAGTAGGTGACATTCTTATCGCTACCATTTTACCAATGAGGAAACTAAGGTACAGAGAGGTTAAGTAATTGGCCCTGGGTCACACAGCTAGTTAATTAATGGTGGATGTGGGATGAGAAGCCAGGGAGACAGGCTCCATGAAGCCAAACCTCTTTGATAGTGGTTAAACTCTTGCTGGAGCTGAAGATAGAGGGGGAAGCAGGAGAAGGAGTGGAGTTTTAGAATAACAACTCTGTGTGTCTGTATATGTATGTGGCCTTGGTACATGTCAGGCACTGTTCTAAGCGCTTGATGTATGTTGTTTCATTTAAATCTCCCAACCGCCATGTGAGGTGGGTTCTGCCATCACCCTCATTAATCAGAAGAGGAAGTGGAGGCTCAGTGGGTCTTTAACGAACTGGGTGTCACACCTAATAGCAGAGGCAGGACTTGGAGTTAAGTTGGTGGCTCTGGGGCCTTTTGGTCACAGGGAGCCATAGGACAGTTGGGCACAGGGAAGGGTATGGTGGGGATGGGAAGCTGGGGACTCATCCAGGAGACTCAGCTGTCCTGGGGATGTCCCAGAGGACCCTGCTGCCCTGGGCTTTGGAAAGCGAGCTGAAGAGGAAAGGGGCATTTGACATGGGAAATGAAAGTAAACATGGCTGAGTGACCCAGATTGCCCACTCACTGGGGACCTGGGACTCAGCTTGGGCTGTCTGTGGGGTAGGGGGTGAGGGAGAAGCGGTGGAAGCACCTGATCAGAAATAACCTGGGGGACCCCTCCCTACCTCACCTCCCACCCAAGCCAGGTGCTGGGAGACTCAGACCAGAAGTGTGGGCAGGGAGGATGGTTCCAGCCTTCTGTGAACCACTGGGGTTGCCCAGTGAGGGGAAGGCCTAGGGTGGCTGGGAGGACCCATAAAGGCCACTCCACCCACCCTGGTCAGCCCCAAGCCTGCTGCTTACTCCGGGGCTGGGCCTCTTGTGGAAGAGTCCTAAGAGACTCAGAAGGGACACAGCTGCCGCAGAGAGGCCAGGAGGAGCACCAGACCTGAGTTGGGAGGCCTGGGTCCCAGCCTGAGCTCTGCCAGTTCACTAGCCATGAGCCAGGCTTCAGGCAAATCAATCCTGTTAGCCTCAGTTTCCTCATCTCTACAATGGGAGTGAAAGAGCCCTAGCCTGTGATAAGGAGTCCTGGGTTCTAGCTTGGCTCTGCCTCTGATTGGCTGGCTGTGTACAGGTCAGGGCAAGCCCTGCCCTTCTCTGGGCCTCAGTGTCCCCACTTCCACAATGGGGTGGGGACGCTGAGGCCCAGCGAGGGGCAGTGACTTGCCCAAGGTGGAACGTTAGATGTGCTGAGCTGGAGCTGAAACCCAGGTCTCTGTGCCTCCCCCACCCCCACCATTCCCAGGAGAACCCCAACTCCTGAATGAGAGAGACCTCGGCCACCCCAGCAGCACCCTGGGCATAGGCCTCGCCTGTGAACTCTCTGTTTCCTCCTGTCCTCTCTTCCACCCTCTCCCCCATGCACCCACCCCCAGATAAACCAAAATGTTTTCAATTAGGGGTGTGCTGCAGTGAGGCAAACCGGAGGAGATGTCCAGACGGGTAACTCCCCCGCCTCCCACCCTATCCTTGATTACCTCCCCAAGGGGGCCTTAGTTAGAAACGGTCATTACCACTAATTACCAGATGACCGCATCGCCCTCCTCGGGAGTGGAATCCGCTGCCTCCCACCTCCTGATCTCCCAGTCTGCACGCTCCCTCGAGCAGGCCTCCCCCAGCACGCCGCAGCTGGCCGCTCTGTCCCAGCCGCTCTCTCCGCAGCCCTGCGCCCACCCAGGACCTCCAGAATGCTTCCCGTTTGTCCTCTGCCCACCTGGGCAGTCTGTGCCTCATCTGGGAACATCCTCACCGGGTTTCCCTCATCGAACCTCTCTCACCACCAGCTGGGGGGGTGGATGCCTGATGACTTAAGAGATGGACAGACTGACCCAGAGTGGCCCAGGGTCCCCAGACCCCAGGATCCCAGAGGACCCCTGCTTGGGAGCCGCAACCTGAGCTCCCCAGGGAAAGTCTCAGCTTACGTTATCCACTTTCTGAGCAGGAGCCCAGGGGAAGGACCTGGGAGGCAGCCACCCTGCATGAGTGCCTGCTGTGTGCCGGGTACCGTGCTGGGTGTTTTCTCATGTATCTCCTGTAATCCTTCCTGTTGTGAAACAGAAAAGTGGCTCAGAGGGGAAGGATGGAAGCTGGGCAAGGGTGATGGGCAGAGCAGGCTCAGGACAGGCTGAGCGTGGACGGCCCCAAGCCCAGTAGAGAGGGGACCTGGGAAGGTGAGGCCAGGTTTGAGGGAGGATGGTGTCCAGAGGAGGCCGAGCTCCTGGGCACTGGAGCGCCTCAGCGTCCTCCTCTGTACAAAGGGGGTGATAATCTCCCAGGCCCCTCGGGCATTGTAAGAATGGGATGAAATGAGAGGTTCTGTAAACTGGGGAGTGCTGTGCCCACCTGGGACAGTGGGTCCATGTGCGTGGACAGTGTTTGCTAGGTGGTGGCAGAGGGGCTGTAACAACAAAGAAACAGGCTGAGGGGATGCTATCTGTCCCTGTGTGCTCACCCCTCATCCAGCACGTGTTGCCGAAATTCAGGCAGCAGGTTCCCCAGTCACAGGCAGGGTCAGGCAACCATGCCTGAGGTCCGCATCCAGATACACCAAAGGTTTCTTGCCTCATGCCTCGGTGGGGTAGGGATGGGCCAGGGGTCGCAGTGAGGGAAGATGGCCCAAGATACCCGCAGTCAATCTCAGACAGGCTGGGTGGTGCCACTCCAACCACAGACACCAGGCCATGCCCACTTGCCCTGGGTCTGCTTCCCAGGCCTCGGGGATGATTTCTGTATTTTGGAGGCGTAGGATGAGTGGGGCATGGCAGAGAGAGGCAGCAGGAAGCAAACTAACCTATTAGTACTCAGTGTAGCACATATGAACTCATTCAGCCCCTACAAGACCTCCAGGAGTCCCCAGTTTTTAGTTGATGCTCAGAGAGGGGCAGCAGTTTACCCAGGATTGCCCAGCACATAGAGGCCAGAGCTTGAGCCACAACCCAGGTCTTCTGACTCGCTCCCATTTATGAATGCCCCGAGTGCTTTCCATCCATTATCATATTTAAGTCTTGCCATCACCTTCTGAAGTAGAATTTATCATTTTCTTATAACAGATGAGGCCCAGAGAGGTTGGGTAACTTCCCCAGCTCACACAGCTGGTGCCCAAAGCCTGAGCTCTTCCCTGGGCCAGCCCATGAACTGGAACATCTGGGTCATTGCCTTATAACTGGTGATAGGTCTGTGCAGCCATTAGACGAGGAGCTCCTTGAGGAAAGGATCTATGTCTGGGAAGAGTTGGTGCTTAGTAAATATTTCTTCCACAAGTAGATCAAGTTCATTTACTCATTTAGGTACAGGTGCAAGGGGAAAGGCATTCCTGGCATCAGGAAAAGCCTGGGCATACGCGTGGTAGTAGGGCAGTCCCTGTCAGAGAAGCCAAGGGTCTGGTGTGGCAGGTATTAGGACACACGGGGGACAAGGACGGGAGGCCAGAGAGGGCTTTAGGGCCAGGTTTTGAGGGGCCTTGAGGTCAGATGGAAGCCCTTGGCCTTGACTGAGTGGGTGCAGGAAGCTAAGGTAGGAAAAGGCCACCGACGCAGTAATAAAGTAGCTTCCATCACAGAGCCCTGACCATGATGTGTCAGCCCTGGGCAGAGCATGTGACCCACATTGAGTTAATCCCTCAGACAATGCTGGGAGATTGATGGAGAGGAGAGGCTACCTGACTTGCTCAAGGTCACAAGGGGAGTGGGGGTGACAGAGCCAGGAGTCTGCCCAGGCCCGTGCTGTTCTTTGGCACCAGGCTGCCTCTCTTGGGATCTCAGGCCAGGGTCTCGAGGAGCTGGGCCTCACCAGGTCTCGGTCCTGACGCTGGGTGAGGTCTGCTGTGGTCCCAGCAAGTGGGGCACCTAGCACTTGGGCCTGAAGATTGGCCCCTTCTTGCCACCTGTCCCTCCAGGGTCTCTGCTGGGTTTCCGAGGACCAGCTGGCCCTAGGGTAGGGGGTGGGTCTATGTGGAACCCTTTAAGGCTGTGGGGTCCCTCTAGCCTCCACTTAAGAGGAGGGGCTGCCTGATGCAGTCTGCTCCTCAGAGAAGGCCTGGGAGGAAGCTGAATGCAGGATCGACCCCTGGTCCTAGAGTCTTGGAATCCCAGTGCCCAGAACCAGGATCTGGAAGCTCTTAGGTCCTATAACATCACTAGAGGTCACAGGGACCCCCTAGGCCAGCATTTCCCAAAGCATGGAGGAGGTCAGCACTCCTCAAATATAGGGTTTTGTGCTCAGCAGACTTGGAAGTTAAACAAAACCAAGCCTGTTGCTTTGCTGCAGGACTTCTCAGGGCCTTTAAAATGTAAATGTGCATTACTAACTCTTCAAGGCGGGTTGTAGTATATCACATCCCCCAACTGTGCTTGATTGACTATGGATCCCTTTTTTCAGAGTGTCTCCCTGGAACCCATTCTGGGAAATACAGTTTAGAGGTATAGACACTGAGACCCAGAGAGGGACAGTGATTTATCTAAAGTCATATAGCAAGTTAATGGCTAAGTCCAATTTATCAGCAAATTGAGTGGCTCTTTAATCTTTTAATGAATCTCTTGCCTGTATGTGGGATCTTACAGCCTAATAAATGGGTTTAATAATTAAACGAAGCCGTAGTGGGAAGCTCCTAACTTACACTGTGCATCTAGTAAATGGTCAATTAATAGTATGTATTACCATGATGATGATGATATAATAATCCAGCACTTAGCACAGCGTCTAGCATGTTCAGTATTGAATGAATGTTGAATGAAGAGTAATCATTCACAGCTGTGTGGGACTAAATAAGGCAGTGGATATGAGTGCTTTGTGAGCTATAAAACTGTTTATTGTTAGTATAATTATAATAAAGCTTAGGTAGGATGGGGGCCAGGATCCTATGTTATGAATGAGGGCATAAGGCCCAAAAAAGGACAGTGATGTGCCCAAGGTCACACGGGGGCGGGAGGGGGAGCCGTTACTCTGCTGGGGACAGTGCTTGGCCTCCTGGTTTCCCAGCCCCTTCCAGCAAAGGCTCCAAGACTGTGGAGGAGAGGCTGGGGCCGGTACAGCGGGTGGAAGCAGCACGGCCCCTCACAGCCCTGACTTCCCTTCCATTGGTTGCTGCCTTTTGGCCTGTGTGCAGGGCGCTCTCCAAGACCCCGGCGGCCCTGGCGCTGAACCAGACGCAGCACTGCAAGCAGCTGGAGGGCCTGGTGTCCGCGCAGGTGCAGCTGTGCCGCAGCAACCTGGAGCTCATGCACACCATCGTGCACGCCGCCCGCGAGGTCATGAAGGCCTGCCGCCGGGCCTTCGCGGACATGCGCTGGAACTGCTCCTCCATCGAGCTCGCCCCCAACTACCTGCTTGACCTGGAGAGAGGTAGGGGGCCAGCGGAGGCTGCTAGGGCCTGCGGAATGCATGCGGGTGGGGTGGGGTGGATGAATTCAGGCATCAATCTATGTGTGTTTAGATAGGTGGGTGAATTCATGGATGGATGGCTGGAAGTGTGATGGGGGGATGAGTGAATAGCTGGATGATGGATGGGTACACGGATGGGTGGTGGACATGGGTATTGGGGCGTGAATTGTTGAATGAATGAACATATAGTGAGTGAATATACCAGTGCGGGGAGCCTGAATGACAGTACAAATGCACAGGTACCCCTCACGCCTGAACAAAGGAATGAATGATGCAGGAAGGCTCTGGGGGTGGGGGGTCTGTAATGAGAATGCGACTGAGCCTGCCCTCGGGGCAGACAGGTGTGGAGCAGTTAATTCTAGACCATCCCGACTGAAGGTGCTGGGAAAGGCACAAAGTGATGTAGGGACTAAAGAACATCTGTGGAGAAGACTTCCCGGTGGAGGTGACTTCTGGGGGTGGATTTGGGGGTCCTGTGTATCATAGAGAGGCTTTTGAAGGGTAGGAATGCCCCAGTGGATCTCATCTTTCCCCCACACGGTGACAGCTAACGTTTGTGCAGCACTTTACAAAGCCTCCTTCCTTCCTGAATTACCTGAGCTCCAGAGCAAGCCTGTGAGGTAGGTATTTTCATTCCCACTCTACAGTTAAGGATACTGAGGCTTGAGAAGGGGGGTAACTTGCTTGGACGCAAGGCCAGGACACCCCACTGCCAAGGCACGTTGGGCTCCAGCTTAGTTTGCTAGGGCTGCTGTAACAAAGGCCCACGCACTGGGGGCTTCTGACAACAGAAGAATTGACTCACGGTGCTGGAGGCTGGAAGTCTGAGGTCAGAGTCAAGGTGTCAGCAGGGGTCCGTCTGAAGACCCTGGGGGAGGACCCATCCCCGCCTCTTCTTAGCTTCTGGGGCTGCCGCAGGCTTCGGTGCTCCTCGGTGCTCCTGCATCACTTCAGTCTCTGCCTCTGTCCCGTGGCCTCCGCCCTCTTTGTCTCTGTATCCCCAATTCCGTCTTCCTATAAGGACACCAGTCATTGCATTAGGGCGCACCCTGCTCCATCTAATGACCTCATCTGAGGTCAGTTACACCTGCAGAGAGCCTATTCCTAAGTAAGGTCACATTCACAGGGACCAGGGGTCACATTTCACCCCACAGCGGGCTCTTTGCTCACTGGTCTCTGAGGAGCTCAGGGACTGGGCCTTCTGTTCCCGAAAGCAGCCCCTAACGCTGGGTGCAGGGCAAGCAGGGAGGAAAGTGCAGCATGGTGAGTGTGTGAGTGAGGGTGTGCCCTGGGGGGCTGGCTTTGCGTGCTTTGTGAGAGTGTGCAGGTCAGCTAGTGCGTTTGGGGGAGGATGGGGGCGTGACAGATGAATGGTCGTCGTGCCATCCTCCACCTGCTTGCTGCCCCTGTCCCCACCCGACCCCGCAGAGGCAGGCGGGGGCCCTCAGGTCTGGGCAGGGTCCTATCCCCGGGTCGCCCGCCCCGGCTGACCCCACACCTCCCCACAGGGACCCGGGAGTCAGCCTTCGTGTATGCGCTGTCGGCGGCCGCCATCAGCCACGCCATCGCCCGGGCCTGCACCTCCGGCGACCTGCCCGGCTGCTCCTGCGGCCCTGTCCCAGGTGAGCCACCCGGGCCCGGGAACCGCTGGGGAGGATGTGCGGACAACCTCAGCTACGGGCTCCTCATGGGGGCCAAGTTTTCCGATGCTCCTATGAAGGTGAAAAAAACAGGATCCCAAGCCAATAAACTGATGCGTCTACACAACAGTGAAGTGGGGAGACAGGTAACCACCCCCACCCCCCAGATGGTTGTGCTTGTGCCAATTGGCCGGAAAAGGGCCGCCCAGTGTGCCCTGGTGGAGGGGTGGCGGGGGGACGGGCCCTGATCCACCCACACTGATGTGCTCCTGGCCTCCCCTGGCTCTTCCCTCTCCAGCTGCTTGGGGCTTGCCTGGCTCCTCCTCCTCCAGGGGGTCCACCAGGATTTGGGCTGGAGAACGTCGGTGGAGCAGAAGGAGCACTGAGCTGGGAGTCAGGAGCTCTAAACTCACTGTGTGACATTGGGCGAGTCACTTCCTCCCTGGCCTCAGTTGTTCCCATCTATAAAATGGGGTGGGTTGGTGCTCTCTGGTCCCCATTGGTCACGTTCCTCAGGCTCTTCCTCTGGGGCTCTGGGCCAAGGCCGGTGTGGAAGGAAGCATGGAGAGGGCTGCGGAGCAGCAGACCCTTGCTAAAGGGTCGTCTCCTTGGATCTAATGGGGACTCTCTCCCAGCTCCAAAACCCACCCCAACCTCCTAAACACGGTTTCCCCTCCATGTCTGTTATTATCAGTGTTGCATTAATTCCTCACCTCATTCCACAGGAGGTTGGGGTGAATGCATAAGTGAATGAATGGACCTTTTTATTTTTTGAAAATTTAAAAAAAAACAACTTTGTACCGATCGGTGTGCCAGACACTGTGGTGGGTCCTTGATTAGTTTTCTCTCCCGTAGTCCACAAAACCACACTGTGAAGAGGTACTGTTACCCCTCCTTACAGATGGGGAACTGGTCCTGGAGGGGCAGAGTGTCCGGTGTGGATGGCATCTCATGACCTCTTCCCTGCAGCCCCGTTAGGCCCATTATGCAGAAGCACCACGTGGGGCAGAAGGAACTTAGTTGGCTTGGCCAAGGACACACAGTGCAATGGAGCCCAGGTCTATGGGACTCCAGGTCTAGAGGTTTCCTTGTCCTCACCTTCCTCTCTCTCTGGTCTCCCTCTTGTAAGGATTCTAGGACATCCAGGCCATTTTTGGGCAGTTGGGGAAACTGAGGCCAAGTCACCCTGTGGATCTGTAGCAGAACCTGGCTAGGGACCCAGAACTCCTGCCTCCCAACCCTGCTGGCCCACCCCCCCACACCCTTGGAAACCCATTGGGAGCCCTTCACCCAGCCTCCTGCCCAAGAACCCAGCCCCACTCCTGCCCATGGCCAGGCCTGAGCCTCATGCTGCCAGGGGTACAGCCGTCCCATCCCACAGTGCAGTCCAGACAGGGTCCTCAGCCTCAGAGGCACATCAGCCCTTTCCCAGGGGCCCTGATGCCAAGGAGCTGGCCTCCCTGGGGCCGTCTGCAAGGGCCCGGGAGGGTAGATGACAGCGCGGTCAGCACCGGCACCATGGCCTCAGGAAGCCTGGGCCCCTTCCCGCCGTCTGAGCTGAGGAGCTGAATGTGGTTTACCTCTCCTGGATGACTCAGAAGTACCTTGTGCCCTTGGGAGGCTGAATGTGCCCTGCAGTCGGGTTCACTTCACTATGTGCTCTCCACAGGCTTTGCTGAGACAGTTCCAGACTCTAGACCCAAGTGGACTCCCTCATTCCCTACTTCCTGGCACTGTGAGGGGTAGGGAGCCCTGGGACCTTGACCAGCTTCCTCACTAACTCCCTGTGTGATTTTGGGCAAGTCCTTGCCCTCCGTGTGCCTCAGTTTCCCCATCTTTTTGATGCAGGGGTAGGCCCAGGGGACCCATAACCCTTGCAGTAGAGTACACAGGGCAGGCGGGGGGGTGGGCAGAGGGATCTGAGTCCTGTGTGCAAGGAGTTGGCGCTTAGCCTGCAGAACTGAAAGGCCTGCAGAAGGCGTCCCAACTCATGCCCCTCAGGTACGCAGGGAGAAACTGAGGCCCGTGGAAGATGGTGGCACAGAGTCACTTCCAAAGCCAGGGCTAGTGTCTCCCCAAGGCCCCAAGCCCAGGCCTCCCCTCTCCACCATAATTCTTACTCAGACTGATTTTTCAAAACCAAATATTGATTTAACTATTGTAGTTCACAAAACTCTTTCACATATGTCATCTCGTTGAATCCTTTCAACGACTCTGCAAGGTAGCAGTTACACACCTGCTCAGCACACGTGAAGACAGGCAGCAGAGGGGACGGCCAGCCAGGCCAGGGCTGCCCCCCCCCCAGCACCCACCTCTTGCCTCTTCTTCCCTCCTTCCCTTCCTTTTCTTCTCCCCGCCACCTTCTTTTCAGCAAGCATTTTGTGAGAGAGAAAAAGCATAGAATAATGAAAAGCCATGGCTTTTGGAATTGCCCTCAGACCTGGGTTCAAGTCCCAGCCCAAGATCTTCTAGCTGTGTAGCCTTGGGCAAGAGACTCAGCCTCGCTGAGCCTTCATTTCCTCTTTTTTAAATGGAGAAATGAATGATATCCCCCATGAAGGGCTTCTGTGATGATGAAGCCATTTTAAGTGTGAGAGCACTTGGTACACTAGGTGTATAGATGGCGTCCGTTAGCCCTGCAAAAGCCACTCTCTTCCTGCCCCTCCCAGCTGCCCCCCAAGTTGGAGGAGGAGCTAAGGATCCTTTAGAGCAAAAAGCCCTGTCACTTGAGGCCCGGAGCAGGTGGTGACTCCCTGAGAGCACTGGCAGGCAGAAGGGGGGGGCAGGGCCCCGGGGCAGGCCAGGGAGGGGGCTCTGGCTGCCCAGCCCGACGCCCTCCGCTGTCCGCAGGCTCTGCGTGCCTCTCTGGAGATGAAGTGTAAGTGCCACGGGGTGTCCGGCTCCTGCTCCATCCGCACCTGCTGGAAGGGGCTGCAGGAGCTTCGGGATGTGGCCGCCGACCTCAAGACCCGCTACCTGTCGGCCACCAAGGTGGTGCACCGACCCATGGGCACCCGCAAGCACCTTGTGCCCAAGGACCTGGACATCCGGCCTGTGAAGGACTCGGAGCTCGTCTATCTGCAGAGCTCCCCTGACTTCTGCATGAAGAACGAGAAGGTGGGCTCCCATGGGACGCAGGACAGGTAAGGGCCCGCCGCCAGCTTGGCAGGAAGCATCAGCCATGTGGCACATGCCCCATCCCAGCTCGGGGCTAGGCACACAGTCAGCATTCGGGGAACGGAGTCCCCGCCCAGTTGAACGCCAGGTGGAGGTGTGGGGTCCCAGGGGCCCCTGGCAGAGCTCCTGGGCATGGCTGTTATGTACCTTGCTCAGGCAGGGGCTCCTGGGGAATAGAGGCTCGTGGGAGGCCCCCATCCCACCTGCCCCCTAGAGGGGAAGAGACAGTGACTCTGTTGGGGGACAGGGGCTGGGAAAGAGGCTGCCTGACATAAAATAGATCCTCAGTAAATGTCCATCAAATGAATAAGCGAAGGATAAATGTCATACAACCTGTGAGCTGGACCAATGAACTGAGGCACAAGGGGAGGTGGGAGCAGTGGCCAGCCCGTGGCCGCATAGGAAGTCTGCACAGTGTGGAGCTGGAACCAGGACAAGTGCTTTTCAGAGGGGCAGCAGGAGAGCGAGGTCGGCCTGCATTCTGTGGACAGACGGCGCTCCCATGCCCCCGCCTGCGTTCACCCACCTCCCAGATCCCAGCTTTCTCCCCCCGGTCCCCCATTTCAGAGCCAGAGCTGGCGTCCCTACAGCAGGTCCCATCACAGCTGCTGAAGCCGATTCAGGACAGGAGAGAAGGAGGGAGCCAGTGGTGACTACAGACCTACTATGTGCCAGGAAGGGCTGGTGAGGATTCAGGGGAGCAGCTCTTCCCAGAGATGGTTCAGGAGGAACCCAGTCCTGAAATGCTATAAAGAAATAGTTCTGCAATCAAATACGTTTGGAAATTCTCTTTGGCGATTTGCAAGGCACGAGAACATATTAAAGGCTCTGAGGAATCCCGCAGTAAAGGATCTGTCTAAGCCAGTGTTTCCCAGAGGTGTTCGGCTGTGGAACTCTTTTATTAAGGAGCCCCTAATAGCATTCCACAAAACTAGTGTTCTTCCAGGTTAAAAGAATATTGAACCAGAGTGAGGGTGTCTGAGAACGTGTCTGGCACATAGTTGGTTCCTGGCCAGCTTTTGCTTCCTCCTCAGCCCACGTTCCTGTCTCCAGGAGAGGGGGACTGCTTTGGGGGGCTCCATCCTCACAGGCCAGGGCAGCAGGCTCTGCAAGGAGGCCCACGCTCCCATCTGGAGGCCAGATTGAGAGACTCAGGCAGAATGAAGATGGAACCAGGTCAGGCCAGGGAGACAGGAAGGAGCGAGAGTCTGGGCTGAGGCAGCCAGGGTGGGTGTGATGAGGATGGGGTTGGGGGGAAGATTCTAGAACCCAGAGGACCTGGGGGAAGCACACTGAGGACCCCAGAGCAAAGAGAGGGTCTCCCTGGATCCACGGGCCGGTGCGTGTGTGTGTGTGTGTGTGTGTGTGTGTGTGTGTGTGTGTGTGTGTGTGTGTGTGTGTGTGTGTGTGTGTGTGTGTGTTTGCGTGCGTGCGCGCATCAGGGAAGGACGGTTCCCACCCTGATGCTGCAGTTTCCTAGCTGTGGGACCTTGAGCAAATCCCTTCACCTACCTGAGGCTCAAGTCTCGTCTTCTGTGCCAACAGGATGATACCACTCACCTGGGAAGGTTGGCAAGTGATTCTAATCCCATTTACGGAGCAGCCCCTCCTTGCTGGGTGGTGTCAGTGCTGTAGGAAGGGTTTGTGAATGACAGTCTCCCCTCCCCAAGGCTGCCAGGCCTCTTCCTTCCCAGCTGTCCCGACTCTGCACCTAGGACTTGCCCCCAAACTATTGACGAGGAGGCCCCATTCCACAGCACCAGCTACCACCCTTGCTTTCTCAGAATGCTATCCCCCACCGCCCCCAGGCTTCCTGCCATGCTCAGCTCTGGGCCTCTGCAGACAGCTGTATGGGTCAGCTCTTCCTGCAGTAACAAACAGCCCTTACATCTCAGTGGTTCACAACCACAGACACTTCTTACAGCATTACATGAGGCTCTGGCAGGCACCAGGGATGGGGAGGGACATCAAGTGCTCAGACCGTGACAGGGAAAACAGGGAGCCCAGAGGGGCCCTGACTCAGCCTAGACATCAAGGAAGGCTGCCTGGAGGAGGGGAAACGTGAGCTTTACTAGATTAGGGATTTGGGAGGTACAGGGGGTTGGATGCAAATGAGCTTTGTTAACTGTAAAAGGCAGGTACACAGGTGGTACACGTGGCTGGGCCCCTAGCTGGGCAAGATGCCCTCCTCAAATCCAGCCTGGTGAACTGAAGCCTCCTCAGCAGTTCCTATTCCAAACTCTGAAACCTGCCCTTTCTCCAGGCCCCAGCCTCCCCAGCTCCCCCTCACAGGCACCATCGCGGGTCTTGTCTGGCTCTGGGGTTGGAGGCCATGTTTCAAACATTGCATGTCAGGGACCCAGAAATAAAAATGAAACTCTGCCCCCTTCCACTGCCCTTTCCTAGAGGAGTCATCCAGAGACCTTCAGGTTCAGGCTAGGGAGACTAATGGTGTCGAGTGACTAAACAAAGCCCAGAAATGTTAAGTGACTTGCCTTAAGTCACACAGCCAGTAAGAAGCAGAGCTGGGGTTTGAACCCAGGTCTGTCTGGCTCTGGGGCCTGTGTTCTTTCTGCTCTTCCCTCCTGCCCGGAACTGCTTCCAGTCCCCACACGCAGGTTGCCTTCTCCTCCTGACTCCCCCTCCAAAGTGCTCCCCTGCTTCCCTCCCCATGGCTCCTTCCCAGCTCAGGCTTCAGCTTCTCTTACTCAGCTGCTGCTGGCAGCAGCCTTCCTGGCCTCCCTGCCTCCAGCCCTGCTCCTTCATCCATCTCTCAGTCCCCTTAGATTAGGTCAGGTCAGGGTGTTTGTCCTCCTTGCCCCCAACACCCTTTCTCCTCCCCTTCGTCTTAGATTCCTGTTCATCTTTCATGCAATGGTCTGGATGATCCCTCCCCCTCCAGGAAGCCTTCCTGAGCTCTCACAGACCCCGTGCTCACCCTGTGTGATGCTGGGCAAGTCCCTTCCCCATTCTGTGCCTCAGTTTCCCCATCAGGAAATATGAGGGTTGGATTTGGTCATGTCTAGGGCTTGCCCACCTCAGACATTCTGGGATTCCTTGGTCCACATGGCTGTGGGGATCCAGCTGCATCCCATGACAGCATCCCTGTCGAGCCTAAGCCCAGCTAGATGAAATGCCAACCTGCACAGATGTTTCTTCGCTAGACAGAAGAACTGACGGCAAGGATATTTGGGTTTTATAGCGACCTTCAGCGTCTTCTTTGCCCACAGGACTGATTCAGGAAGAAATGCAGCCCCTGGCAGCCCATGGGTTCTCTGCCCTTTAGGGTGGGGAGAATATGCACTGGATTTGGTTTCAAGACCCCTGAGCTTGAGCCCTGCTTATCCACAAACTCCTGTGAGACCTTGAGCAGGCCTCTGCCCTTGCTGAGCCTGTTTCCATCTGGGAAAAATGGGCATAGTAATTCCACTGACCCAAAGACCTTGCCTGCCTCGGATAAGATGAAATACTGGAGGGAAGCGCCTGGTTCAAAGGGGGCAAATTATTGACGGACCCTCTGTCTCCACCAAGAGAGTGCCGAACGCTCAGTTTGCCTCACATCCGATGCCATTTGTTTGTTTCAGAATTTATCCTGGGATTCTAAAAGCAAAAACGATCTTTACGCTTGTTACAATATAATTAAGGATTAAATACGAGGATAGGATTATTAGACAGTGGCTTGAGACACTTTCAAGTATTTAGAAGTAGAAGATATAGGAAAAGAGACAAAGGAAACAAAACACCCCCTCATTTTGACGAATGCCTATTGGAAATATAGGGAAAAGTGAGAAGTACCCCTGGGAAAGAGGGTTATTTTAAATTCCCCAAAGACCAAAACACCGTCCAAGGGGGACTGAGGCTGCAGCCGTGGTCAGAGGAGGCTGGGGCTGCCTGGCTGGGAGTGGAGGGACTGGTGGGTGACAGGATGCTCACTGACCTCCCCTCCCCCTCCAGGCAGTGCAACAAGACGTCACATGGCAGTGACAGCTGTGACCTCATGTGCTGTGGACGCGGCTACAACCCCTACACAGACCGTGTGGTCGAGCGGTGCCACTGCAAGTACCACTGGTGCTGCTATGTCACCTGCCGCAGGTGTGAGCGCACGGTGGAGCGCTACGTCTGCAAGTGAGGCTGCTCCGCTCCTCGGGGACCCTCAGAGGCTGGCCAAGGGGCCTGGAGACGCCCCATGGATTTTGGCTTGTGAATTCCAGATGCTAGACGTGGAAGGAGGCTTGTCCTCTGCCTCCACTTGGAAACCACCAGGAACAGAAGGCCGGGCCACCCGGGAAAGAGGGCCAGGACATCAAAGGAAACCGACAAGGTTAAAAATAACCTGGCAGCCCGAGGCCCTGGAGTGCCCACCTGCTGCCTTCCAGGCGGGTCTAAGAAGCCAGAGGCATGGGTTTGGCAAGACTGGTACAGGCTCGACCTTTCCTAGCCAGAGACTCAAGCCTCCTGGGAAGTGGGAGGTCAGCCTCTCCTCACCAGAATGTTCTGCAGGCCTAGCCCTCGAGACCCCCGGCCCACCCCAGGGTCTGAGCCTACTGGGCCCACCACATGGAACCACTAGCTTGGGTTGTAAATGTTTCCTTGTTTTGTTTTGTTTTTCTTCCTCTGGGATGTGGGAGCTACAGAAATATTTATAAAACATAGCTTTTTCTTTGGGGTGGCTGGCCTCAATTCCTCTTTATATATTTTATATATATAAATATATATATATATATATGATCTGTATTTTAAACAAGTTCTTTAAACAGCTGTATGAAATAAATGCTGAGAACCCCAGGCCGCCCCTGCAGTTTCTGGCCTCCTCAAGTGAGCTCAGAGGATCCTGGGGCTGGTTGGGTGAAGTCTCCGGTTCCCAGGCGAGGCGGCGTCCGATTGATGTTCCCCACACGCTCCACCACCCAGCTCAGGCCCCAGCCTCCTTGTAAGATCTCCCGGTCAAGGGCGAGGACAGACGTCTTGAAACCCAAACCCAGCTGGCAGACTCTTTGTTCCCCAGGGACACACATGCAGGCGCACATAGCCTGGCTGTGTCATCAGACCTGCTAAGTGGCTTCAAGAGAAAACCTACCCGGGAGCTGGGAATGCAGACCTCAGGGAGGTGGTGGCAGAACCACGCCCCAGCTAGCCCTAGCAGGGTTTCTGTGTGAAACCTGTAGGGAGGGCTTTGCCCTCCCTAGCCTCAGTTTCTCCGTTTGTAAAGCTGGTGGTGGAAATTGAGGGGTGGTTGGAAAAGGCCCCCAGCTTCGTGTCTGGACCAGGCTGGCTGCAGTGGGCGTGGCTGGGTTCCTGTTCTGTTTTGAAGGTGGAGCCATTAGATTTGTTCTTTTCATGGCTGTGGGACTTGAAGGCGAGGAGGACCGAGAAGGACTGCAAGGGTTTTGGCCGAGTGCTTGGACGCACGCATGCTGGGACGGGGGTGGAGAGAGAACTATAGGGTTCAGACTCGGTGGAGATTGTGATGTCGGTTGGGTCCCAAGTGGAAATCCTGAGTAGACGGGCAGATAAGCCGGGCTCTGAGGAGAGCCTGGGGCTGAGATGCACATTTGGACATTGTCACTAAAAGGTGGGATAGAAAAGCAAAGAGGGCCAAGGCTTGGGCCTGGAGCATGTGCACTTTGGAGGTCAGGGAGATGAAGAGGAAGAGAGGCGAAGAGACCAAGAGGTAACAGCCAGGAAGATGGAGAATCCTGGGGGTCTTAGCTGTTGCCAAGTGAATAGAGGGTCTTGGAGGGGTGTGGGTCCCAGTTGCTCTCTGAGCTGCAGCCTCTCTTCCTGGGACATGAGCAGCACTGATGAGCAAGTAAAGAGTGTCCTGGGCTACAGTAGGTCCCCCAAATGGAAGTAATTATTAATCATCTGTATCTGCTCTGGCTGTGGGGTGACCACACCAGACAAAGGATGTGAAAGAACATTATAAACTGGACTTCGGTGCACAGGGAGGAGACACAAACGCTGAGAGGAGAGCTCTCCACTCCCCAGAGCCAACTGAGACACAACCTGGGATGGTGGGGGCAGATCCAGGGTGGGATGGCGTGGACACGCCCACAGAGGCTGGACCAATCACAGGGTGGGAAGAGGAAGGGCTGTGTGGCCAGAGTCACAGAATCAGAGGCTGGAAGGAACCTCGCTCGAGGTTAGTCTTCTGGTCTCTCAATCTGTTTTGCAGATGAGGAAATTCCAAGATGGGAAGGGCCTTTCCTGTGGTCACAGAACTGATAAGAGGCTGAGGGCCGGTGGTGGGGCATTGCAGGGCGGGCCTCCCACCAGCATCTCTGTAGAAAGCTCAGCCTCTGTTGAACAAGTGCCTGGAGTGTGTGCTCTCCCAGGTTCAGGGCCGCCCCTGCTCCACACTGGCTCCCATGGCCCATAAAACCAATCCCCAGTTCCCTGGCCTAGCATACAAGTCCCCTCCCCCAGGCCCCAGGTGACTCTTCCGGCCACATTTCCTGCAACTTCCCAGGCACCCTCTCTGTTCAGCCTCCCTTTGGGCATCTGTTGTTCTTTCACAGCAGGCCTGGAATGTCATTTTCCGTGTTGGAATCCCACTCAGCCTTCAGAGCCATCTCTACAAAGCCTTTCCCGATGCCCTCAAGCTCTATACAACCCTTTGAACCTTTAAAGCAGCCATCACACTCATGCGCACAGTGGCCCACTCTTCCTCCAAGGCCCAAGTAAATGGTCCCCTCCTCCAGGAAGTCTTCCCTGACCACCCCCAGCCTGGGCCAGTGGCCTCTTCTGTGTTCCCACGGCCTCTGTGTTCCTCTCCCACTTTGCACTGAGCCAAGGTGCTGTAGAGGTTTGTGTTGTGTCTGTGTCTGCCTCACCCTCCCCCCCACCACTGCCCAGTCCGGGGCCTCCTCATGGGCTGGGACCAGCCCAATTCACCCATGGGGCTCCAGGGTCCAGCAGAGTCACCCTAGGGGCTGAGTACATGTCTTGGAAATGTTGGATTTTGGGGTGTCATTCGGACCTTAACCAGGACAAGCAAATGGGGAAACCAGACCAAGGCCCCAGAATGCCTCTCAGAAAGGGTGGTCATACCTGTTATTGTGCCCCTACTATGTGCTATTCCAAACATTGTCCAGAGTCAGCTTCACAGCAGGCCCAGGTGGGTGTTGTTATCTCCATCCAACAGGTCAGAAAAGTGAGGCTCTGAGAAGGGAGGCCACTTGGGCCAGATCTCACAGCAAGTTCATAGCAGTGCAGGGCTGGGAGCCCAGGTGTGTCTGACACCAAACCCCTTCTCACACGTCCTCACTCTGGCTAAGCACGGGGAGAGCATGTGGAAGACTGAAGGCTGTTTCTGGCTCAGGACAGGAGACCCAACGGGGCCCCTGACTCGGTGGGCCTGCCGCTGGCCAGTGCCAGGCCTGCAGGGAAGCTCTGTACCTTTCCGGCTGGTCAGGGGGTGGGCAACCCAGGGGCCATGGAGAGCTGCTCCCTGGGCTGTTCCTCCCTGGCAAGGTCGGGGCTCTAAGCCTTCAGCTAAGCCAGGCCCTTACGCAGGTGTGGCAGGGTGGACCCTCACCGGTGTGAATCCCAGAAACTCGGAGCTCTTAGTGTCCCAGGATCTCACTGTGTTCAGAGATTCAGAGCCATAAAACCTTGGTACCTTGGACTTTTGGAGTCAATATCCTCAAACCATTGCACTGGAAGCCCTGTAGAGGCCCCCTGAGCCAGTAGCAAACCCAAAGAATTTAAAAGGCCCAGGTATTGATCTGTGGTTGTCAAAACGCTTGTCACCCGCAGGATTCCTGACCTGAGCCACACTCCTTCTCCCTCCCTCCTACGGGGGCAGCAGTCCCAGACTGGGAAAGCCCTAGAGATGGAAACTCCCCAGGGATGATAGTACCAGCCGCTTTGAGGAGGCTCCTGGACCAAGTGTGGGAGGCCAGCTGGAGACACGGGAGAGACAGGGCCTGGGGAGAGAGACAAGAAGGCGGCAGAAAGGAAACAGGAACTCTTGAAAAGAGGGAGAGATTAGCCTGGTGGGAAAGGAGAGAATGGGCAGATAAGGCCCCCCGGGGAGGCCAGGTCAGGCCAGCGAAGCAGGGACTGGGCCCAGCCTGAGCGGCCTGACGGTCTATTTTTCCTGAGCTCATGGAGACCAGCTGCCAGGTTACACAGACCAGACCTCCAGCAGGATGCAGGCCCCAGCATGGGACCCCAGACCCAAGAGGGGCTGGCTGGGGCAAGGGGGAGTTTGGGGCTGGGAAACAGGAAGTCCAGCATCTTTTCTGCTCTCTTGCTGTGTGACTCAAGGCAGCCACTGGCCCTCTCTGGGCCTCTGCAGTGGTTGTCTCGTTTAATTCTCAAACGATTCTGAGGGGTAGTGTCCAGCATCTGTGTTTTATTGATGAGGAAACTGAGGTGCAGAGAGAGAAGCGATGGCCCAAGGTCACAGAGCCATAAGTGGCAGAGCAATGATTCAAGCCCTAGGCTGCCCGGCTCCAAGCCCATGATGGGCATCCCAGGGATGCAGGCGGCCTCCGGCTGAGTGAATAGCTGATTCTGAGCCATTGGAGTGGCAGGACAGGGCGTCACACAGAGGGAAAGAGAACAAGGCAAGACTGAGCGGTTCTTGACATCTGTCGCAGGGACTGGGGACTGTGGTCCAGGCACAGATGTCAGGTGCCTCATCCCCATGGCCATCGGGCCATAGATCAGCCAACATGTCCTGCCCTGTCCTCCCCGGCTGAGGAGCTCACCGTCAGCTGGGTGCCTGGACCCCCAGGAGCCGCCTGTGTGTTGAGGTGAGGGGGTGAAGCACACGTGTCCCCCTTCAGTGGGCCCCCGGCTCCCAGTTAGTGCAGAAGAGATGGCGGAAGTCAGATGACCGGCAGAATCCTGGGGGCTTTGGGGACTGGGGGGCAGGAAAGCCCACTTCTCTCAGGGTGTCGGGGTAAGGAGTGGAAAGTCTGAAAGACTACTCAGAGGAGGTGCCACGTGCACTGGGTCTGGAAGGTGAGTAGGATTTCAGGAGATGGAGGAGGCGGCGAAGGGGAGGGTCTGCAGGGTTTGCTTGGAGGAGGCCAAGAAGTGGGGTGTGGCAGCACAGGTCCAACCCAGGCTCCCCCCGGCGCCAGGGGGGAACGTCGGAGCTAGGTGTCTAAGACCACCCCACCAGGTGCTAGCTGCCAGCTGGTCTGTGCACCACCTGCCCACCAGGCCCCGCCCACCCTCAGAGATGGCTGGCTTCAGGCAGAGCGATTTAACAGCTCCACGTTTAACAGGTCCCTTTGCTCCCGTAGACCAAACCAACATCCGCTCGGCTCCCCAGACCTGTGGCTGCTGAAGGCTCTCCTCATGGGACCCTTGGTCCCCATTGCCTCACCTGCTGGGCTCCCTCGGGGGCCCGGACGGGGGCGCTGAAGGGTTGGGGCAGGGGCAGAGCGCAAGGAGATGGCGGATCACACAACCGTCCCAGACAGGCTGGCAGTGGGGACGGGGCTTGTGAGAGGCGCAGACCCCAGTGCTCCTGGACAGGGGCATGGCTGCAGTTAGAGCCCAGTGTTTATTTCACGTCTCCAGCATCTTTGCATCCATAGAAGCTTGCCGTCCCGAGGGGGCTGTGGAGCGGGAAGCTGGCTGAGAGGCGCCGGGACAGCAGCCTCTTAGGCTGCGTTTGAAGGCGCCTTCTGACTCAAGATTCTGGTTCACTTTTCTTAGATTCTGAAACTCCATCCAGGCCATTCCACAGTCCTGGGAGTTCAGGACCCAAGACTGGAGGACACTAAGTGTCTAGCGTGTCTAGAATCTGAAGAATCCCAAACTGT